GCAAGTTCATTTTTTATAAAATCTACATAGGTCTACAACTTTATGTAGATATTATATAGAGTACTATATAAAAATTATATATATTAATTTTTTTTTTTTTTTTTTTAATATTTGGGGTGTAATATATTAATTTTTATATATTATTTAATATAAAATTTATATAAAAACTTATTTAAACTTATATAAATATTATTTTATAAAAAAAAGATTATATAAATGTTATATATTTATAAAATTCATGTATTATATTTAAGTAACTTTTATGTCATAATATCTAAATAAATTTTTATATAAATTTTATATATTGATAAATTTTATGTATAATAATTATATGACTTTTATATATCGTAAAATTTAGATAAGAATTTTATATAATTTTTACATATTAATAAATTTATATATATAATTATATAACCTTTAAATATTATAAAATTTAAATAAATTTAAATATTAATTTTTAAAAAAGAATTAGCAAATATCTCAAAATTTTACTATGGTAAACCCTGTTGTGTTACTAATAAAAAATGTTCCTCTCGTAATTTTACCCTACTCCCAACTCTAATTTTAACTCTAACTCTAATTATAATCTTTATTTTTACCCTAATATTTATTTATTTGCTTACTAAACATATTATTATATTTGCAAAATTTTAGATAACTATTAAATAAATATTATTTATAATTATATTTATGTATAAATTATAACTATGTAAGTCTACATTGGGTTTATAGACCTATGTATAATTTTTAAATAAATATATATAAAACATTTACATAACTCTACATTAAATATTTACATACTTCTATATAAAAACAACTTCCTGGATTCACATCTTTATGTGAATAATAATAAACTACGTCAAATGTTCTAAGGATAATGTATGTTATAAGCATGTAATAGTGTGAATTAACATACTGTAATTGTAACTTGTGCAACATAAAATACGTTACATGAATTATGACCAATCAGATTGCTTAAAAGTGATAGATGTTTAGAATGATATCGGTTCTACAGTCAACTCCCACTATAGTCACACCCGAAATAGTTACATTTTCTTGAGACTATATACCAATCATTTAAAATAATATAAAATTAACTCTCTCTATAATCATATAATGTGACTATTATTATGTTTCTCTTACTATAGTCATATCAAGTTTCTGCCAGACAGTGTGACTATAGCAAGAGTTGACTGTACCTGAAATCCCGAAAGGACATAATACTAACTAAATTGGCTAGCATAATAACTAATGCTGGCTAACTTTGTTAATATTATGTCTTTTTCGAGAATCTGTCTTTTGGGATTTTAAAGTAGAACCATAGATATTGATATAAACCGTGAACCAGATGCTTTACGCATCACTCTGGTTACAGTATATTGACATTTTTGAGACATTAGTAAAAAAATTCAAATGTCAGTACAGTGAGTTATACCGACATTTTATATTAAATTTTTGAAAAAAAATATCAGTATAGAAAGATTTTACTATGATGTTGTTATATCCAGATGTTGTGTACAAAGCTTAATTCTCTGAACCCAGATAGGGTCACCGACTATCTGCGATAGCATATTATGCACATAAACCTATTTTTCATCGCATAGCATATGTGATAGCATATTTCACATATTATAGATAATTTCGCATAATTATATAGGCATAATCTGCGCATAAAATGTTATTTTGAAAATTGAAGCAAAATTAGTATAATTCAGGCCGGATAATAACCGAATCGAAAAATTACGGGATGGTTAACGAGTGTGTTGGTTGGAGAGTTACAGAATAGTACCTAATGATAGATCAAACGAAATCAGACATATAAGTGGGGTTAAATAATTTCATTTTAAATCCGATTTAATTCAGTAAGTCTGTTTTAGATAGAACTTTTGGTATAATTTTTTTTTTGTTAAATGGTCACATATTTCTATTCGATTCACATAGATTGCATAATTTGTCGCATAATTCTAGAAATTTTATTGCATAATTTCACATAAATTGACTTCTAGTGTCAACTTGATAAGATTCAACATTATTTAAAAACGTACACCAAAATTTAACGGATGATGGTGTTTTTGCGGTTGCTGATATTGTGGTTGTTGTTCCTTTATCCAGGTTGGGGTAATAAATTGCTGGTGGTATTATTGATAAAAATTCCGAGCAGAATTTGGGGTCAGCTGTAGCAGATAGTTGGTGACCCTAGACCCGGATAGACATCACCCCTCCCAAATCCATATGTGCTACCTGTTCAATTATGCAAAATTATGTTAGAAATATGCAAATTTGATAGAAATATGCATTTATAGATAGAAATATGTGATCATCTTACATGTGACCAAAATTCTGAAATACACAGTTATTTGAATATTTTCATAATAAGTATATCTGATATGAATTTTTTTTTAAAAAAAATTTCATTTAGCCCACAATAAATTCCCATTCTTGAATAATTTGACTGTCTTCAATAGGAATATACTTGACAGCTTCTTTGTGCTTTCCATAGGATATATTTCTTTTAAATTTGCCTCTGATCACGGTTACTTTCTGAGTTGCTTTATATTAATATCAATTTCAAGTAATTCGTTTTGCATATTAAATATGCAAAATTAGTCCTGATATGCAAAATATGCAATCGCGCAATAAATGTCAGGTTTATGAGCAAATTTTTATTGGGTTGCAGTTATGTCAACCCGGGTAAGAAGTAACGGAAGACCCTAGCAACCAATTTTTTTTGTCATTTTTTGGTGCTTCTTTCCCGTTCTTTTTTGGCGTTTTTTTGGTGCTTATTTGCGGCTCTTTTGTCGTTCTTTTGGAGTTTTTCTGTTGTTCTTTGTCATTCTTTTAGTGGTTTCTTGGTCATTCTTTCAATGGTTCGTTCTTTTTAATACTTTTTCGTGTTCTTTTTTTTTTTAGATCAACGTTTTCTTTTGGCACTTTTTCTTTTTTCCTCACTTTATCAGTGATCCTTTATCACTTATTTTGGTGCTCTTTTTCATCGCTTTTTCGG